AGTCTGTATAACTACTCTCTATATCACTGAGAGTCAACACTCTGAGAATCTTTATAAGAATTCTTGAAGAGAGTATCTATAATCTGAAGAATTTGCAGACTTTGAGAAGCACTGTAGAAGATCTGATATAAGAGAAAACAAAGTATAAGTCTTTATAAGATCTTCTATTCAGATTATCTGAACTACAACTGAAGAATAAATATACTCAGTATATTTAAAAACTGCTCACAGTGGAGATTAATTCTGCAGAAATAAAGAATTAAAGAGACTTAAATAATCTCTTATAAAAAGAGAGCCGAATTTATATATCTATAAATGAGTTTTTATAAGTAGAACTTATTAAAAGATATTATAACTCTTCTCTAATAGATTATTTTATAGATACTAGAATTTATAAGTTACTTATAAGAAAATACTTCTGATTAAAAATATAAGAATTTATAAAGAAGATAGTAAATTCTTATACTATTTATCAGAGTTTGTGAGTAGTGTGATTCAGACTATATAAAGAACTTACTTCTCTATCTATCTCATAGAAATCTTGAAAACAGCTAGAAATAAATATTCTCATAAGTCTCTCTGAAAGTAAGAATATATATAATACCTGTTTTAACAGTGTGCTGATGATAGTAAATTACTTTATTAAAATGATATACTTTATAAGAACTTATAAGAACTTAAAGTCAAAGAATTTAACTTATATCTTTATTTATAATATAATTCAGTTGTATAAATTGTCTGTGAATATTATCTCAGACAGAGAATTAATTTTTATAAGAGAGTTCTGATCTGATCTGATAACTATACTGAAGATCTTATAAGATCTAAGCACAGCTTTTCATTAATAGACAGATAGTCAGATAGAATATCTAATAAGTATATTAAAACAGTATCTGTAATTAGACTGACCGTGTGACCGTGTCTGAGACCAGAATCAGAATACTTGATAGTCTTATTATCAATTCAACTGATTCTATTACACTGTTTTAACATTAGATAGTAGTCTCATACTGTTTCAGTGAGACTTACTGTCTACTCTTGTCACATTTTTCAAATAAGACCATGATTTCCACTTCTCAATTTAAATTACTTTTATTGCTTTAAATGACTTTAAATCTCATTTGAGTGTTACCAAAAAGTGTTACTTTTTAAAAAATTAAAAATAGTCTAAAAAAAACCTTAAAATGTCTAAAAATAGTAACTTTATGCCAAGAATAGAACTAAATGAGATCAAATAAGATCACTTTCTTATTTTTTCTAAGTCATGATCTCATTTTGAGATCTGATATATAGTCACTTTACATGTTTTTTTAATGATTAGTCTCAGCGGGATTCACGCTAAGAAATGTATGAAACCAGATCAAATGAAATCAAACGTGAAATTCATGATTCCGGCGGCCAGTCTATCTGTAATACTTTATTAATTATAATCAGAATAACTGAGTGTATTAATTATCACTTATAGAGTTTATATATAATAACTTAAAACATCTCAGTATAGATAAAACCCTCTTTAAGATACTTACTTAGACTCACTTATAAATAATCTTAATGAACTTATAAGAGTATACTATAGAGTGTAATAATATCTGTGAACAGACTGAGAGAATTCAGAATATTCAGAAGAAAGTCTGTTAATTCTTGAGAAAGACTTAAAAGTATCAGAAGAGATATTATAAATTTAAGTATATTATAAAAAGTTTTAAGAAAGATGATAGAGTCTAACTAAGTCTAGAAAATATTACTGTATAGAGATCTAGTAAGAAGTTAAATCTCTTATAAATAAAGTTTTATAAGATTATGAAAAAAGTTAGCTTATAGTTCTATAGATTGAAACTGTTATCTGAGTTATAGATATATAATATTTTTTATATCTCTTTACTTCATAAATATAAGAAATTCTCAGAAGAGAATTCTATAACTTATCACTCTGTTTATAAAGTATTAGAGAGTGAAAGAGAATATCAGATTAAAGAGATTATTAACTCAGAGAAGTGAGATTATAAGCTCTGATTTAAGATTCAGTGATAAGAATATTCTAATAAGATAAATAAGTTCACTTAAAAATTATCTAAGTAGATAAAATATCTGCAGAAGCTGAGATATAACTTTTATACTATAAATTCTAATAAGTCAGAATAATACAGTCTTCATTAAGAATCTAATTATAATAAAGATATTAACACTGTCATTTATAAACTTTAATCTATAAGATAATAAGTTTCTACTGAAATGAACAGTCTACAGTATATACAAAGAAAAGAAGAAATTATATTCTTATTAAAGTTAAAAAATAAAGAAAATAGAAACAGAGCTGTAAACACAATTTAGAGATTAATAAAGAAAAAATAAAGAAAAGTTATATTTATATTCTTAATATCTGTAACACTCAATCTCTCTATGACTATTAATTTTTCTCTTTAAAGAAACAGAGAGTATTATATCTGCAGTACAGATAATTATTATATTTAATATAAAAACTATCAGAAATACACAGACTTCAGAGTAGTTAAATATCAGAATATATATAATTACAGCAGAGTCTTAAGAGCTAATCATCTATATATATAATCAGATATTTTTTATAAAGCTGTATCTACTTTCTCAGTTATACTGAAGTATTCAGTCTGAAAATAATTAAGATATGAAGAGAAAGCTTTATCTATTCAGATTAACTTCTATTACAAATTCATAGTATTCACATTATCTTAATTATCTGAATTTTACAGATACTCAGAGACTCATCTCTCATTGATAATAAGATTATGAAAATATATCACAGTGTGAGAACTGTTGATAGAAAATCTAGACATATTTACATATATCTGATCAGAGATTGTATAAGTAGAAAGAAGATAATTATAGATCTGCAAAGCTGTAGAAGACACTGATAACATTGAGAGCTTTATAAAAACTATTAGTTAAAGTCTATAAGAAATTACTTATAGAGAGACTTATAATAAAGAGTAGAACTACACTGCTTAGAGTTAGAGACTGATTTAAAAGAGATATGAAATTAACTACTGATCTGAAGATCAGATACAGTGACAGAGCTGAAAGAAGTAAAGATATTATTATAAGTGATAATATCTCTGCTTTATCAGCTGATAAAAAGTGATTAAAAGAGTTGCAAAGACACTTATAAAAAGCTTAACAGTAGTCAGATATTATTTATAAAGATATTAAAATTAAAAAAAAATTTATTCTTAAGAAGTTCTTGAATTAATATATAAATATTATTAGAAATACTCTCTCTTTATTATCTGAGTGAAAATACTTCACAGATGAATAAGAATACTCACAGTTTATAGAAATAAAAGCTGTTATAGAAAAAGAGAAAAAAAGATAAGATTTTATAGATAGATCTAAGATATTTATACTACTTTAAAGAGATTTATTTATACTGTGAGTAATCTTATAAAATAGTCAGATTACTCTAATAAATAAAGAGTGATTATAAATTACAGATTTAAATCTTTCTATATAATTATAAAGAGTGATTACAGACTATGAATATCTTAATTCTATAATTCTATAGAGTTGATAAAAGAATGAAAAATTCCTCATAATTCTATAGTATTAAAGAATGATAATTCATGAGAATAAGTAAAAGATTAACTTATAAATACTTCTCTTTAATAGAGATAATCTCATAGAAAGTAATTCATCTGTAAAATGAATTTATATAATAATTATATAAGAATCTTACAGAAAAATAATTGAAGATTAACTGAAACTCTTCAGATTGAAAGATATGAGATAAATCTGTGTAATAATTATACAAGAATCTTATAGAAATAATTAAGAGTCAATCAGAACTCTTCTATATAAAAGATATTAGATAAATCTGTATAATAGTTAGAGAAAGATTTATAGATTATAAAAAATCTCATAGAATAAGAAACTAAGTAACAGACTCTTTTCTCTTTATAGTAATAAGAGATTTTTTCTTACTAAGGTTTTTTTTATAAATATAAAGAGTTTTTAGTGAGTATCACTGCAGTGCTGAGTCTGATTCTATGAAATTACTCAGTGAAAGACTTCATAAATGAAGTCTTAGAGAGAAGAGAGTATATAAGAAATTTCACTTCTTACAGATTCTTTATCTCTATTTCTATCTCTTGTATAATTAATAGAGTTAGCAGCCCTTGACTACACACAACTATATAGACTGGAGTTCATGAATACTATTCATAACTCAGCTTGAATGCTATTTATATATTTAATCTCTATATTTTATCTTTCTATTATAAATACTTCTAGTAGTTAACAGTACATATCACGCCAAGCTGCAAACACCCGAATAATCGCCTGCGAGCACTTATTCTTACATGCGGCTGCTTATTACAGTGACGGATTATTATTATATTCATTACCCGATTACCCGGCATACAAGAGGTTTTCAATTAGATGAATACAATATTTACAAGGCCTATGCCACAGCAGCGCCGAATCGTGGCATCTATGCCTATATTATAGGAAGGCCGTGCGTACTAAATATTTCATGCGACTTGGCGCTGCAGGATCCCTCTAGTTAGACTGACTCCTTATATGTAAATAATTAGTGAAACCGCTAGGGCTCCTTGCTCCTTACATTCGTAAGCGTATTCGGAAGCGGCCGCATTATTATCCGGCGGCCGGACGTTCTTCCGAACCACACTCTCTCTTTTATTTTCTCTTCTGTGAACCTTTCAGTAGAAGACACTCTCAATCTTATATGTAAATCTCATTTTCTAGTTATATAGCTGCTCTGCTAGATTGCAAACATTTACTCAGGCAGAGCAGCAGTGAAGAGGAGTGTCAGATTGCCTCTCTGTGAGCTGACTGCTTCTGCCTCATAATACAACCAACTACTCTAAGAACATCAATCCATCATCAACTCTATTTTTAACTTAATTGATAGAATAACTGTAATTATTTTTAATAATTATTTCATCTCTCAGTTTTACAGATTTTTTTCAGTTTTTTATTAATTATCTATATCATTATTCAATTTATTTTCAGATCTGCATCCTGTTATCAATCGACACCGCACCTGTCTCTTGAACTTCCATAATTGGTGGTGAAGGAACGTGCCGCGCAACAAGGCTGGCCGGCAGTTCTAAGGTCGGAATGGACGAATCCATCGTAGATGGTGCACTCGGGGTAACCTTGGATGAAGTAGGTTTTGCGTGAACCGCTGCGTCCTTGTAGAATTTCTGCAGCCGCTCGACATCATTACAGAAGGCTCTAATCTCTGCTCCGATCTCCCTAGTAATTCGATAGGAAGAGGGAAGTTCAGACTGGGGAACAGGCCCGGATGAGGTGTCAAGTGATGCGCGGACTGCAGGCGATAAATGCGGCGAGCCACCACGGTCCAAGGCATCATATGTTGCAGCACGGGGGCGGTAGAACTCACTTCTGTCGAAACGCCCAGGTTCCTTGGCGACAGGTCCTCGAGCGCTGTAGAGTCGGTTCGCGAGCAGAAGGAAGCAGCCGTCATTTGTAATCTGAGCGAGGACGGCACCGGTTCGGTGGACATACTGGGGGAGGTGATAGTCCAGTCGACCCCAGGAATATGACACGTTTACATCCGGAGGGAAAGAGTGTATAGCTTCAAAGTCAAGGACGAAGTCAAACTTTTTCAGGATTGCCTTGTGATAGAAGTGGCGGTCGGCTATGCCTTGAGATCCGAATAAGGTGGAGCTATAAACGTTGGGCGATGGGCTGTCTGGGGGTTCAATTGCTAGCTTGACTGGGTATGGGCGCCGGAAAACTTGGGTTTCGACGATGGAAGAAGCCTCAGATATCGGTAATTCAACTAGTTTGAGACCGAACTTTTCCGCGGTTGCAGCCCACGATACAATTGCATCTTCCACAAGCTTGGGCGTTGCGTTCATCCAACTGAGTTCGATGTGGAAGCAATTGTCGGGATTGTGAAGCCGGTCATAGTGAAGCTCAATTGTTTCAGGGCGGGTTGAACGCTTACGAGTGTCGACGTCAATCTTCATAGACTTTGACAGGCACACTGAGGCTTTTGTTCTCGGAGATTTCCCCTGGGTAGGCGTGTTGGCCCTACTGTCAGTCTCTCCCGCCCCGTTATCTGCTTTGTCCTGGGCAGTCTGAGCTACACCCTCTCCCATGGGAGTGTTAGGAACCGATTTTCGAGCCTGGAACCAACCGCTTCGAGATTCTGGCCGAGCTATGCGATATTCATCGGTGATCTGGTAAAAATAATTGCCGTCTCTGAAATTATGCCTTCGCTGGACGTGACAAATAAGCCCATGCTTCATCAACTCATTTCCAAACTCAACTGCCTCCTCGCGAGTATCGATATCGCGGAAATTTTGCAGCATCCAAGTAGTAAGCTCTAATCCAACAAAGCAGTTATAATGAAGACGCCAATGCCATCTTCTATCCATCATCCTCACCCCCTTCTCGCCCTGTATAGCCTGCGCCAAGACAGCAAGACTAATGTTGGATCGTTGAAGTAATTCGGATTCTGGTAGCAATTGTAGAGAAGGACTATCAAGATGTGGATCATCAAGCAACAGTCTATCAAGTTCAGCAGCAACAACCTCAGACGGATTGCTAGTTTGATATATAATATTCAATGGGTTTTGGTCCTTTTTGTAAGTCGGTGCCTGCAGTCGTTTTTCCTCTGGCGGAACATACCGATACTTTTGCCATATTTGAGTGAGTTGAGTGATGCCAAGAAGATGAATTTCCTCTTCATTATCCTCTTTATATGACTGCATTGGGCGTCTTGCGTTTGCGGGTATCTGAACGGGTATCAGAACGAAACGCGTGCGCCAGAAACGAAGTTGTTCCGCGCAATTGGTTAAGTGGTCCCGATAGCCTGCCAGAAAAGCGTCCGCATAATTCCAGTTGTAATCTTCTCGAGGTAATTGCAAATTTATAGTATTTTTGCAATAGTTTGCACTCAATATTGTTTTAACGACAGGAGTGTAATTGAATGCAAAAGCCTTTGCGTTAGAAAGGAAATCGGTCACCGTTTTACGTGTGAATTTTGTAACTTCTATCTCCCCTCCGGCAACACAAACCAACTTGTGGATGATGTTGCCCATAGACATAAAAATGGTCGTCCCATCTTTGGATAATGAGCGGGTGTTGAATATATTTAGCGATCCTAGTGAATGCTGGCCTGATGCTTCGTTAACTAACTTCCCAACGTCGATCTGGAAACCATGGGCAAGGCGCAATGCCACCATTTCACGTAGAAGTGCCTCTCGGGTTCTAGGCGTTTCTGCGAAATCGGACTCGTCATTTTGGTAGACTCTGTACGGGGTCTGAAAATACTGAGAAGCGAGTTCTTCGCTTGTGGGAAATTCCTCTGTTGTCAGTGGAAGAATTGCCGGCGACTTTAGGCTCTTCCACTTTACAGACGCCGTGCTTGGCATCCGCGGATAGACATGCTGCCAGCGACCGAACCAACTGGATCGCGTGGGTCCACGTTTAGGTGGTTTGCACGGGTTAACAGGTAAAATCCATGGAGACAGCGCCTTCGTTGGAGATAAAGCAATAGGTGCTTCATCTTGGCTCGCATTATGAGTTAAACCAAACCTGGGACCCGTACGGGTCATTGGGAATGGCCCATGGATTTCTTCATTCGGTCCTCGATCGAAAGGCACTTCTGTTGAGGTAGTTGAAAATGAGCCATCAACTTCATTGGGGCCCATATTATGCTCGTCCATCGTTTTTTTATTCGCGATTCGGATTGAAATGGGTTTTGAAGGAGTAGTATTTGCGTTCTCTGTAGAAGGCGTAACATTTACCAGAGGGAGCTCTGCGGTGTTGAAGGTAGGGCTGGAAACGCTATCTGATATAGGCGAATTGATGATGGCGTTTGAGGGTTGTTCTGCAGCACTAAGCAGTTTCTTACTTGTCGTTGACAGGCCCTTGGCATGTTCGTTATTAATTTCCGTACTTGCAATTGCTCGGGGTGGAGTTGGGCCTAGCCCGCGTAAAGCAAAGCTAATCGACCGGGAAATCCGTGGCTTGGTGGACTTCGATGCTGTTTTCATGCTTGACTTTTTGAAGGGTATCCGTTCAGCTGGGGCTACTTTCTGAAAGTTTGACTTTCCATCTTCTGGCCGCCGGTGGCTATTACTGGGGTTCGTTGAAAACTTGCCAGAGCGATTCAATGAACTCGTCGAGAAACGTATGGACTCTTGTTCGCATACCCGAGATCCTGGTGTCTCAAAATCAACGCGCTTAGCCTTTGAAGCTCTTCGTACCATTCGCTCTGTGGGAGTTGTATGAAAGATTGAGTTATCATAAAAATCCATCCACTCTAGCATTTTTCGCTGTGTCGCAGGCACGGATAAAATATTCTTTTTCGAATCCTTGAAAGTTGACATCAAAGATCCGGCCCCACTCTCTGTGAACGGAGATTTATACGATCCGTGCGGAGATGCATATGAGCCAGAGCGCCTTTGAAGGCGGGACGTCAGCTGAAGATAGATACGGTACACAGATATTTGACTGTTCGCTTTCCATAACACCCATCATTTGAATTTCATTCATCCTGACCCTTGGAATAAAGGTATTTGTTTGCTTTTTCATTGTGCCTACGGCAGGGGATTTTGTGACTTTATTCACAGCGGTTCGTCTGTCGCGGTAAATTTTCGGATCCCAATAGGATATGTCAATCCAATGGGGAATCCCGTAACGCCAGTCGTCAACGACCGGGGCTGGTTTTGGTAGAGGTCCGAGTGTAGCATTTGACGATCCAGGACCGGAAATTCTACTCGAAAAGCTCCCAGATAAGTGAGAATCGGAGGGGGACGGACGGAGGAGCGAATCCCTGGAGATAGAACTACCCGGCCTCGAAGTATGGTCACTCGGGAGGCGATACTTAAATAGTGGAACTGAATGCAATGGCATGGGACTCAAGCATATCAGATCAATTCCAATGGCACGACTTGTGAGGACCTCTGAAGTCAACGCTAGTGCCTCATAAGCGACTTCAAACACTCCTGTCCCAGGAGATATCACAACGATTGACGTGCCTGTCCTAATAAGGTCACGACCAATATGCTCAAATGCCAAGTACGATGACGCAATATTTATTGCTTCCAATATATTCCCGCGCAGGGCAGAAGTCGGCCTTCCAGATATACTTGGAGGGTGCTTCGGATTTTCCGGGAGCATGTCTTCCGCCGATGTCGGTGAGTCTGGGAAGCGCGATGGCGGGATAGACACGTCCCGGAGGAAAGTCCTGAATTCCTTCTTTAATTCATCTAAAATTGCCGTCCACTTGCCACTTGGCATATCATTGACCACAACGCGATAGAAATCCTGACTCTCTAGTCGGGAATCATGGGTGGTTCGATTTAAGTTATTGATGAGGAAAGAAGAGCCGAGATTATCTACCGCTAAGAGATCATACTGGACTCTAGTAAATAAAACAATGGTCACCAGATGGTGGGCATCGATGCCAGCCCAACGTTTGAAGAGTTCCGGCAGAAGGCTATTGATGACCCGACTAAAGAGAATGTCACCAGTACCTTCGGAGTCAAAGTCCCACATCTCCTTCGACATTTGAATGAAGAGGACATATCGAGCAGATTCGCTCCGAAAGATTGGTATCGTTTGCGGGGCAAAGTAACCAGATGGCACTTTTTTGCCGTCGATATATATGGACTTAACCGTTGCTTTGATGGTTCCCATGAATACGATCTTCTGTCCCTTATAGACAGGCTTATCTGCGAGTTCTGACATGACTAACCTCCACATGTCAGATCGGACCAGAAACTGGTCTCGAAAAATGAGCTCCACGTGAGAAGCGGTGCACTGCGACCGATCTTTGAGAGATATCAAAGCCTGGGAGTGGTTTTTGAATCCAAAAATATTGGCTATATTACTTGTGATCGAAATTTGTAGATTTGGGTGCCTGGCTTTAATATCTGCCGATAGCGGTTTGACTAGAAATAGGTACCATCGATTGGCTGGGGAGTGAGGCTTGTGGTCAGCAGCGCGCTTTGCAGCGGCGTCGGAACCTGGATCGGAATCACCTGAATCTCGTAGCGTTCTCCCACTCGGATCCAGTCTGTTTGAAGATGCATGGTGGTCCCCTTGTGAAAGACGGGGGGAAGAGAGCTCAACAAGATCTCCCGCTTTTAACCCTAGATCGCTAAAAGCACCGACATTGAATAGCACATCTTCTCTCGAGAAGTTATCATCATGAACCCATAGAGAGCAGGGACGATTGCTGAGGCCTGTAGCACTTGTCTTCGAGGGCCCATATACTCGGTCTTGATCCAGATTGGTCGTCCCCGTCGAAGCTGTTGCAATGCTTGGGGTGCTAACTTGCCTCAGATGCGAACCTTTGGCGCGTCCACGTGGCAGCATGATTTATCAAATGGTCCGTCCATGTATCATGGAGACGAAAACGGCTGTGCTATTTGATATTCATTGTTTTGTCTAGAGTGCTGTTCCAAAGCTATCAGAAACGCTGAGATTGACCAGATTGCAATCACGATTGGATAGCCTCACCTAGCTACACGTGACTAACACTATAATGGAGGATGGATGTTATCTCAGCAAGCTCAGACGCTTCTCCAGATATGTTGGGGGTCCCGCGGTTGGTCGGCAGGCGCTGGTGGTGATTGAGCTCTTTTGCCCCAGTAGCCTACAAGATATTCATTGCTGTTTTAACACTGAATTGATGATTATGTCATGAGCTAACCTCAAATAAGCAATAAGCTAACCCAAATAGTAAAATCAGGTCATGTGAGTGATAATATCTTACAAAGTGTCTGAGAAGAAACAGTTTCTGATTATTAGTAACATAGAAATGATTTACTCAGTACTCTGAGTATGAAAGAGAATTTCAACTCAACTTCATAGATTCATCATTTCTGTATCATCTTAGAATCTTAAAATAACAATATTCTTGCAATGTATCTGATTTTTATATTCATATCTCAAGTTCTTAGAATAGAAGTATCATCTCAAAGTTAATCAGTGTATTTTTAAACACAGGAATTTTGATTCAATTTCTTATATAAAAAAAAGCTCTTAGAAATTCTGAGATCAAAAAATATGATCATTTTCAAGAGTATATATCTATCTTAAATATAGATTTTTTTGAAATATTAAAGAAATATTTATATTCTTCTTCTCTTTAGCTATAAGCTAAGGTGATTTTCAAATCTTAAAGATATATGAATATATAGTAATAGAAAGTCAAAGTTGAAGAATCTGAAAAATCCTTATAAATCTCAGGAATCTTCATTGAAGATGGAACTGTTTCTTCTCAGACCCTCTGGCGAGGATTGCTCTGAGCACATGACTTGTATCAAAAGTAGGCTAGTGTCATGCCGGATTAGTTAGTTAATAATAATGCTGCAACCCGTTCAAACCGAGCCAGAGGGTCTGAGCCCGCTGAGATAAGATGGATGGATCCATGGAGAATATATTGTACACGTGACATATTCGCTGCTCCCGACAACCAACTAAGTTCTGGAGGACAGACAGTCAACTAGGGGCTTGACGCAAGTCTTTTAGGAATACCCAGCCTATTTGTTACCGTCAACTATATTGCGGACCAATGATTGGCACTTACTCAAAGCCAGAATATTGGCCTGGTTAATCTCCCAAGGCGGGTAGATGACCAAGCCTGTTCTTCACACTCTCACGAGCCGGCAGTAGAGCATTTTTGCCCGCTGTCCGATTTCGACCCATTTTCCCAACGTTAGTTATCCGAAAGGGCGCCAATGTTAAAAGGAATTGTTGATTAGAAGTCACAAACACGTCAGGCCGCATGATCCAAGCCATTTCAAACAAGCTTTCGTTGGCGTGGCTCAAAATAGCCTGATGGACAAATGGCGATTGGGTTAACCATTAGTTATCCTGACTTCCACCTGGAGTTTGCAGACGCAGCTTCAAACGTCGAAACGTCGCTCGTAAGGGATGTATTCCCCGTTGGCTCAGTAAATTGGCAAGGAGGAACGGTGGTACGTTGTCAATTTCCGTGCTGAGCCTGCAGGAATTATCCAGCACACCATGATAGTCGTCATGCCTCCCGACAGAAATCATTTCAGGCATCTATCTGCTGCGGGATCTAATGGGGAACTATACCATCATATCGCACGCATATGTGAATTACATTTTCAGAACACTGTGCACAGAGAGGTCTAGCAATAGCCAAACCAAATGTACTGGAACCCCAACAGCAGCGATGGAAACAGGCGCGTTGTTCATCATAACACTGGCATTAATTTGAAAAATTGACAGTAGCCTTAAAATGAGCTTTTACAGGGCGCCCCCGACGATCGTCTTCCATCATGAAAGATGGTAACTAACTAATTGACTACATGTATCCCGCTTTGCACTAGCCTTTGGGCTGCATCGAATGGCTAGAACCGTCCAGTTTTTCATTTTCCATTTCCACAATATTCTCTCTTTACATGGCCTGTGCTTGTTTTGAATCCTCATCCGGCCCTTCTTTTGGTCGGATTTAACAGGGCTTGTTTGATATAACTCATTCACCTGCAGGAACCCAGCGCCTTGACGTACCTTGGGGCATTTCAGGATTTAGGGCTGAGAGTCTCCAGGGGGATTCCACCCAACAACAAACACTCACATTCCCCTTTCTTCACTGACTTAAAACACACTTTTTCTCACCCTCGTTGTGCCACAAATACAATTCTTTCCTCATAAACTGCCGGGGCCATATTCGTGTTTTTGGTAGAGAAATTTTGCAGATACACTTATATACGCCTTTAGGTGTCTCCAACACGGGACCTGGACCTCCCATAGATACCCAAGTACCTAAGTACTTATTTGCATAACCCACCAAGTTCCAACAATGCGTGCGTAACTTCAGCTTCTGATCTCCGATGGGCGGTTTCTTTATTGTGGATTGACACTTATTCTATTGGTGGAGAAAGATATACACCGACGTCAAGCCAGGAATCTGGCCTGGTATGATGATGATGGAGAAGCAACGTCCTACCACAACCCTTTCAAAAAATTCCGATACCGCTCTATGCGCTCAACTGAATCTCGTGCAGAAGATGGGTTACCACGTGCACAGACAGAAAGCAATACTGTATCGAGATCTGAGAGGGACCGGCGAGAAGAGATGGGTAGCATCTTCTCTGCACCCCGCCATGCACATACCAACCCTCCAGCATCAAGAAAATCTGTTGGTGACGTTATTGAAATGACACGAGCAGGATCTATGACTAGTGCTGCACCTCTGACGACGTCGAAAGAAGAACAACAGCATGAATTTCTAGGAACGGGGGCTTCTAATAAACGGAGATTCTTCAAAAGCGGCGGAAACCATGCCTCGGCTAGTATGATACCACAAGAGCCTGAGGATTCTGGAAAAGATAAACAAGCATTTACGGCTGTCGAACAATTAAAGGCCACCCTGCTAAATTCTTGGATTAACGTCTTGCTTGTCATGGTCCCCGTCGGGAGTAGGCTTCTATGAATTTACCCGGAATTATCATGCATGAAAACTTGCTAACTCCATCTATAGTCGCGATTCACCATGCGCATATTGACCCCATTGCAATCTTTGTTATCAATTTCATTGCCATTATGTACGTCTTCTCCTTTAGGAAACAGCCCAACTATTTCCATTAACAATACTTCTAGCCCTCTTGCCGCGATGCTAAGTTATGCTACGGAGGAAATTGCTCTCAGGTATTACTCTATTCTTAACATCACCAGAACAACTTTAACTTTGTCTCTAGGACGGGGGAAACTGTGGGCGGTTTGCTCAACGCAACATTCGGGTAGGTAATGCTAGCGTCCTACCCCCTAGCACGTCTACTAAACCAGTTATAGGAATGCTGTGGAACTCATTGTGTCGCTCCTGGCCTTGTTTAAACGTGAAATCGTCATCGTGCAAACGTCCCTTATCGGCAGTATATTATCAAACCTGCTACTGGTTTTGGGAATGGCCTTTTTCCTTGGAGGTATAAATCGACTTGAACAAAATTTCAACGTCACTGTGGCGCAGACAGCGTCCAGTCTGCTCACCTTGGCCGTCGGAAGTCTTATAATCCCGACAGCGTTTCACGCATGGTCAAACGGTGCGTTCTTCATCGTGCATCGTGCTAATATACGCTAATTTGCTGTTCTATATAGCTGGTGAAGCCGGAATTGCACCTCTTTCGCGAGGTACCTATCACTCTAAATCCAAAAGAACATAAAAGACTTTTTATTCCTGTACCCTAACATATCTCTAGGAACGAGCGTGATTCTACTTGTCGTGTATGCATGCTATCTCTTTTTTCAACTTAAATCTCACATGGAAATGTACAATAAGCCGAGTGAGAAAGTCGAGAAAAGACGTGGGCGAGTCGGAACTGGTGACGCTACCATAGGCATTGCACAGATTGGGGCAGGCATCTCTGCCACAATGTTCGGAGATAACGCTCAACGCGTTTCCATGGTCATCCCAGATGACAAGGAAGAACCGCAACTAACTATCTGGGTTGCCTTATTTACACTTGCTGCATCGACAGCATTGGTGGCCCTCTGTGCCGAGGCCATGGTACGTTCCTTGTCTTTCTATAACTTTAAAGCGCCCGGCCTGGTTGAGCATGACGGATTAGGTAACTGACCTTACATTGTGAAGGTCGGCTCAATCGATGCAATTACCACTCGTGGTCACATCTCAGAAACGTTCGTGGGATTAATTCTCATTCCAATTGTTGGCAACGCAGCTGAACATGCTACGGCCATCACCGTTGCGATTAAGGATAAAATGGATCTCTCCATTGGGGTTGCTGTTGGGTCAAGCATGCAAATTGCTCTTTTGGTGGTTCCCCTCATCGTAGTTATTGGGTGGATTGCTGGTATGTTGGCTTGTCGACCCTGCCACACTTCTCAACCCGAATTCCTAGCCACTATAAACGTATGTTTGTTGTTTGCTGATTTCTATCTCGTTTCGGCAACCCCAGGCATCGATGAGATGGTACGTGCCCCAAATTCTCTTTCCCCTTTCACGCTTATTGTAAGCGTTTCGCTATCTAATACTGTGAATAGACATTATACTTTGATGGGTTTCAAATTGCAGTACTGTTCGTTTCCGTGCTGCTAGTAAGTTTACCTTCTTCCCAAATCCGTTGCTTGCATTCCTGTTCGTGTTTGACAAACTTGCTTTACTCCACAACAGGTAAACTACTTAATCCAAGATGGCAAGTCAAATTGGCTAGAAGGTGTGTTGTTGATGATTCTCTTCCTCATTATCTCGGTCGCGGCTTGGTAAGCTTATTTCATTCTTTCCTTCCCTCTCCTAACCTGTTATTTTTTTTTTTTTAAAAAAAAAAAAAAAAAGATTCCTCCCTCCTTGAGATGACGATAATTTTAATAGCCCTAGTAAATAT